TTTTTTCTTTTTCTTGTGTTTTTTACTTGATTTCTCTTTAACTTCCGCATCCTCTTCGTCGTCTTCGGACTCCGGTGATGTGTCAAGGTTTTCTGCAGAAGGTATACTATTACTGCTGCGTTTCTTCTTCAGCCCTGTTTGTTGATCTGAATCTTCTTCGCTTTCTGAGTCTGATTCTTGTTGTGCTGCCTCCAAACTATTTGCCTTCTTCTTGTGTTTACGGCTCTCTGAAATCGAGCCGTCATCCCGCTTCTTGCGCTTTATTTCAATTCCGTCCTCGTCCCCATCGTCCTCTAGTTCATCTTGCACGTCCTCGGCACTCATAGAATCATTTGACTTCTTCTTCTTCTTCTTCTGTAAAGCATCTTTCTATAACTTCTAAGTGTCTTTCTACCTTATATAGAAAAACAGGAAAAACCCCTATAAAACGAGGAATGAACAACCTTCTCTACTCTAGCAGTCTCCACAGCTTTAGCATCCCGTTCAGCGGCCAGTGCTTTAGCTTTCTTCGCTTCCTTCTTTCTTTTTTTCAAAACCTGTAACTTCCAACCAGATTAATAACAGCTAAAAAAAACTTTTTACAGAAATTTGTAATTATTGGTACCTTGATTATTGCGCCTTCTGCCTGTTCTGAAGCTTCCTTCATCACCACCATATTTTTCTTGGGTATCTGTCCAGTCTCAAAGTATTTTAATCGATCCTCCACCTAAAAATCCGCCCTTCAAACCACCAAAAAAAAATGAAGCAACAGTTCATCAGAAATTGGAGCCTAAATAATCAGCATAGTTCTTAAACAACCTGCTGTTTTAAAAACTCTCCAAAAGTAGGCACTGGAACTTCAGAGAAGCAATCAATACGTGAAGCTACAGCACACTTGTTCGCAAGAAAACGAGATATTCGACCCTTATTTTTAGGTGCTGCCCTTCCAATAAAAGTTGAATGAAACAGTAGTCCATATTTAGGAGTATTAGCTAAAATACAGGACTAGTGTCGTATAAAAGGAAAAATACAGAAATTCAAAGTTGCAAAAGATTACACCGTGTTTTCAATGCTCGGAAAAGTGCTTTTTCAGCTCCCAAAATCTGCACAGTTGAGGCAGGATACTTCGCTAGGTTCGTTAAACTTCCTGCGTGCGAAATCAACCGTGCACCCACCTAAAGTTCTGTCGTCACTCTTAAACGAGGTGTGGTAAAAATCTGCAGACCTAAGCAAAAACTAATATGTATATAAAATACCTGAAATTAAAAAAAATACCTGCTCTCCAACCAAAGCGGATAATGAAGGAGCGCAAGAATACATCCGTTCCCGAATGTAGGCGTGCAACTGTTGACGGTAATCAGTCAAAGATGTCACTCGATTTCCAAAACGATCAATGTTCAACAAATCTATCTCGGAAATCTCCATGCCCATCGATGTTTTTGCTGCTTCAATAATCTCCATTGCTTTGTCATCATCCTCGACGATGGCTAAATTAAGAAATATCAGATATTAAAACAAAAATCAGGACTAGGAGGAAAAAGGACATAAAGAAAAAGAAAGTCGAAGTAGAGAGCAAAATCTGCGTTAAAAACATCAAGTGTTACCTTTTATTTTTTCTAAAGTACTTTCGTCGATAGTCTTCCGATCCATGATCGTGCACGCGCACTTGACGTATTTATACTGATCCGGCACTAATTTGAAAAGCTCAGGGAAATGATAAGAATACCTAAAAGATCTATCAAGACAATTTAAAAAGCGAAGACAACAATATTAAAGCAAGTGATGGTGCTGAGATAGGCATTCACGAAGATGAAATACAAAAAACCAAAATCAGAAAACAAATTTCCATACCATTCACGAATACGCATCCCAAAACGGTTGATATCTTTATCCAACTGATCTAACAAAGCTATCGACTGAATGACCATATTATCAACACGATGTACATCGAATTTCACCTTAGATGCAACAAGAGGATAGATGTCATATGCTGTTAAAAGAAGCCAAGAATTGAACTGCCCTTAAAAAAAAACACAAAACCATGAAAAAACCTAACTCTGCACCGCGAATAACTGTGCGCTAAAGAAAGTTGGGCCTTCGACAAGGAATGGTGTGGTAACTCCTGAGCGAGACGTTGGAAATGAATCCTTACGCCTCGCATAATTTCTGGGACGACTCCGGAGTAAGGACATTTGATCCCCTCAATGCTTTCGCTTATTGCACTAGCCAACTTTGAATCCGCAACTCCCAGTACCACCCGTTTCTTTTTCTTCTTCGGCAAATTGCTTTCCAGAAAAGTGAGGAGATCATGATGCACTAAGCCTGGAGAAATACGTGGCATGAAACAACTTTCCCGCCACTGTGGTCAGAATGTAGTGTACGTTATAACGAGAAAACACTGCTGAGAGTGATAAGCAAAATTTAGATAGAAAAGTTTTACTTCCAAAAAAACCTTCCTTCTCAATGCATTTGCGTTTCTAAGGAACAATAGAGCTACAAAAGCAAATTTTAATTCAATTACTAACACCAACCAACTTCTTGTCACGCTTCTTCGTAAAGAAACTCTTTTAACTTTCAAATTCTTTGGTCAGTAAATAAAACATCAGGAAACCCCACGTTGAAAGTTGAAAAGGAAAGAGAATCATTTTACCCGTCTCACTAAAATAATCTCAGCAGAAGTCAAAAGTAGTTCTCTAAACCATCTAAAAATGCCAGAAGAACTTGACTATTTTTTACCCACATTAAGCCAGCCTTTCTGTTTTACGTCAAACAACCTGTTAATTGCACATCCTGCTAATCCTTATAACCCAAAGGGTTGCCTCATAAATTAGGAAGCTTCAAACCAATCACCCTAGCTAGACTGCTAAATGAATAAAGTATGAAATATGAATAATTTCCTAAAACAACCTTCTGAAATCGCATTACAATTCTCCAAAGCTGCTTCTGTATTTTTGAAAGGTTCAAATGCCTCCAATTTAACAACGGAACAGAATCGCTGCACATCACTGACTGATTGTTCCACCTAGAAAAAGAAATACACGTAGAAAACACACGCAGATTTACATTATATGTGCTAAGGTTAGAAAGAGGAAGCCAAGAACGGCAATAAAAACAAACCTCAGGAATCATCATCCCGATATCTTCAAACTCCTTGACTCGGAGAAGGGCGTACCCCACAGCATGTTCATAAAGGACAAAATTTGGCGCTTCGCTCATACTACTTTAACATAAGCAAAGTGTGTAACTGTCAATTAACTCTTCTAAACGCCCACATTTAAGACATTTGTCCTCCACAAATTAATCTCATTAAATTCAGCAGCTAAGAATTGCCATCCCAAAAGAAACAAGTCACATCAACTTCGTGAAATAATGAAATAATGAGACACTTTATGATACCAAAAACTCCAAACAAAGTTTTGTTCCGTTCAACTCCTCACAGAAAGACCATTAAACATAAAAAAAAAAAACAAATTACAGATTTACTAAAGCACCAAAAGAAGCATTCAAGAGAACACAAGCCAAAAAAAAAAGAACCATCTCTAAAAGGACTCTGACAAATATTTGACTTTGACAGTAATTTAGCACGAACTTTTACCCGCTGTGCTTGAAAAGTTTCTGATCTTAAAACAGTATTTTTTCAAGAATAAAGAAGCACGAAAATGCCACCGTGAGATCCAGCTCCCATGGATACATCATAGTTCATTTCAACTCCGTCCTACTTTTCCACTGTAACTGTTTACTACTCAATTAGCAGAATCAGAGAAGAAACAAAACGTTGTCTCCCTGGAGCACAGCAAGTACAGTGTTGCAAGCCCCGTTGCAGTCAGCCAAGCATTAAAACACCCTGCACACTGCAGCGCAATAAACACCGATCGATTACTGCTGCGAAAATTTGATCCCTAATATGCACAAAATTCGGATTGTGAAAACCAGCGAGCAGTTGAAGTACGATGATATTGTCCACTTTAGGGATATGTGTTCTGCTTATGCTACTTGTGTGTTAAGAAACTTAGTTTGTGTAACAGAGCAAACGATCAAAATTAAGATTATAACCTAGAAATAAGCAAAATTTCTCAAGCAGCATAAGCACAAATTGGTACGGACCAACAAATGCAGCATAATGATTATGTTATCACTGTCAGGTAAATTACTGATTCTTTACTGCAGTAATATCAAAAAAAGCCAATATTTTTGCATGGATCCAACGCCATCCTTTAAAAATGTTAGTAAAAACAGGTAACGAATTTTTTTGACTACGTAAAGGAAGACATGATACTGAAGAAAAAAACAACTCAAGAAGAGTAAAATTTGTCAAAGGTCATGCTTTATTTTAAAAAGCCACAGATTATTGCTTTCAGCCAAAAAAATCTACGTCACCAGTTAATAACAGCTTTCGAAAAACGGTGCCTTTTTTGCATCATTCAGCCAGTGCCGCCGTAACTAGAAATTGACAGACCGGCTATACGTGGTCGGTCTTGGTACCGCAAAAAAAAAAACCTAGACGGTTTACAAAACATGTTACATAGTCACAAAAAACACTCATTTAACAGTCTGGGGCATCAAATAAGAGCGAAAAATGAGGCAGATATAGCGTTTTTAGACACTCAAAAAACAGAGTTCAGGAGTAACTGAGTCCCCTTCAAACTGAGCAGTAAAGAGCACTATGTCATATGGCGACCTAACTCATACTCTTTCCGTTTTAACTGATCACTGACCATA